TATCGACTAGATTTCCGTCCCACAACGCAACACAGGTACGGATGTTAGAGACGAGCCAGTCCTTTCGCCTCGGGAGCTCTGACTTGGAAGATCCGCCTTCCTGTTTTCGCCTCGATCCCCACTACTCTGTATCCGATTTGGATCGGCCAGGAGTCGTTCGAGAGCTCTCGACTTGCTTGTTCTGGCCTGTGTCAATCGGCTCGGCGTCGGTCCTGTGGGCTGCGCTAGCAGCGTATATATCTGATTTATTGCGCTGTCCACATATTCCCGCTCCGTACTTCCGGGCCCAGGCTCGTCACTAGCCGTCCTTCTCGATCCGATCTCAGCTAGCTCCGAAGAGCTCCCCCGAGGCATTCTTGGAAGTGGCCCCTCTACATTAGCATCGTTTGTGCGGAGAGTGGCCTTGGTAACATTATCTGCGTTTTTAGAAGGGGAGAACCAAACATTGTTGTATGACCTTCTCGGCACTCCAGGAGGCGCGCATAGAAGATGACTCTGCTTCGGCTCAGGCGAGACATTAGTTGCACTCATGCGATGAAGTTCACGTCGCAAAGTTGACCTGTCTTCGAATAGAATAACTGCAAAATTTCGGTACAGATCTTAAAGTATTCTGGCTTTCGCTACGAAAGCTGAACAGAGTCGGACAAGGAGAAGGTAAAGCTTTTTTCCTTAATCTTCTACAACTAATATCAGTCTCAACGATGTTGCACGCCCCCGAAACAGTATGCCTAATGTTGTCAATCATGATATTGTCAGCTATGTTGAGGGCGATGGCGTTTTTTCCCCTTCTGCATCTTTGGATAACCTCAGAGGTGACTGCATTTAGGAACTTTAATACTCCAATTTTGTACTTTTGCGCTGAATTAGCCGGAGACTGAATTATGTATGAAATTGATATAAGGATATCCCCGAAGGAGTCAAACAACTTTAGATTCTCATTTTGTTCGGCCAACTGTTTCTCCAACATCTTTATTTTGGCTGACAGTGAAGATATAAGGCCGACAACACTAATTGAACTTTCATTTGTCTTTTGACTCATTTAGCTGTTCTTGTATCCCAGGTGGCACGGAATGTGTGCAACAAGGCACAGGTTCCTCGGCACTAGTTACCGGGATTATTCGGTTTTCCGCACTAATTTTCCTCATTGCATGTGTGTTAATAGCAGTCATCTATCTTTTAAATGGGAAGATAAAAGCTATCTAATATATACTACAGCCCAGCGTGAATTCTGGGGTAACAAAGGTCGTTAAAGTACAGTGACTTACCTATTCAAGTCTCCTCCAATATGACTGGACGGCGTGGTGGTAAGGAGCTACCAAGTGCTCTGAGGAGAAGCGCTGCCTGATGCAGGTCTGTGCAAGCTTGGATGCGACTTATCAATCAAGCTGCGGCTGTGAGATTCACTTTGCAGCTATGTGTTTGCAGAATATCTTGTTTGGCGTGTCAGTCGAATGTGCCAGCGTTAACGTGTGGCAGATTATAGGAGGATGTGCTTGAGAATTTTTGAGGTTAGATCTTTGGATCGCGCCAGGTGAATTGGGCTTAACACCTGTAGCTCCTCCAAGCAATGTTGGAATTGGACGAGTGAGAGTGTTCAAAAACCGTTGAAGTGCTCTATCGTATGAGACCAGACAATGTCTCAGATTGTTGGAGTTACGCGACGTTTGGCGCTTGGATTTCGGCGAAACCAGGCCCGGAATTTATGATGTAAGTGTAGGGTTGAATGGAGTATACCCGGGAAAATAGTATCACGAAATAGAGCTTGTGAAAGCACAATGAATAAGTACAGATCCAAAGGTGTGCGACAAAGTGTCGTTGAGCCACAGTTAATAAACAACGAGTGCACAAGTGAGCGATTAGCATGCGAGTTTGCTCAAGGTCATGACCTTGAAGCGTCTACACACCAGGGAGCTCTCTGAGCTCCAGGATGGGAACTCATTGGTGCTGCTGGCCAATTAAACTGCTGTTCAAAATGCTCGGCCCAACCATCGAGTCGGCGTTTTGATAATGGATTGGCTCGCCATTGGTTTCGCATAAAACTTCACTTGCAGTGGGCCTTTTGCTGCCAGTAGATCGGATCAGGAGGAAAAGCTTAAGAAAATTCCCCGAGGTGGCAGCTTGCTCCATCTCAACAACCGCTGCGTCCACCAAGATTCGCTATCTTCCCGGAGAAGCTGTTTGAGATTAACGTTAGTAGTCTTGAGTAAAGCGTGATATTTAACGCTAGTATGAGTTGCTCGACGAGCTTCGAGAAGTTGGAGGGACCGTGCAGAGATCCAGTGGTTGACATGACTAGTGGCGAAGCCACAGACCAGGGTTTCAGAGTTGTAAATGGCGCCGCGGATGTGTGTCAAGTGTGTTTCAATGTCCGTGCATGAGGCAGTCTTCAGCCGTGAGGCCAAGGTGTCTTGAAAAGCGTGGAGAACGTTGGGGGCAGAAAGCTTAGCTACGTCAAGCCGTTTCTGGCGACCCTGCTGGGAGCCACCAAAACCTAGTGCAACTTTGGCACACACTAGCGCGTGATCCGAAGTGAGATAGGTACTCCAGGTTGATTTGCAATCCTGTATGCTACCCCGCCAGCGATAGCTAATGGCGATGTGGCCAATTTATGTCCACGGCTGGCCAAGTGATGGGCGTCTCCAGGTGGCGCTTTGGCGCCAGGATCGCCGAAAGCTAGTGCGCGACAGAAGGAGGCCGTAACTGGCGCAAAACTGAAGTAGTCGATCACCGTTTTCAGTTCTACGAGTATCATGACCGTGTTGACCATCGTGTTCACGTTCGTTAACTTCAAGTCTACCGACCTGCACTTTCAAGTCACTGGCGTGCACCATGATGTCAGTACGGCGCTTTCTACGAAGTAGGTCGGGCAGTTGACCATAGAACTCATTTTTAACAGACTCCGGGCTGCAATCTGTGGAAGCGTACGCTGCGACAATGAATAGACAGCTTCTGCTGGCTTCGCACCTGGACAGTCGCATTGAAGTTTCAAGTCGGATCGTGCATGGTCGACTGTTGACAAGGATCCAGTCTAGTAGCGCAGTCTCAGCACGTGTGCTCAGCGCAAGCCCCACTCCAGCAAAACCAGCGGCTTCGGCGGTTGAGTTACCAGATAGGCGCAAAATGAAAACGCTAGTGGAATTCGCAGACGATGAAATTAGTCGCAGCATCATGCTAGAGTCCTGTAAAAGGGGCCTCGCTGAGACAGCAGACATCAATGGCCGCAGTTTCTAGAGTGCCAGCAAGGGATGGTTGTGATCCAATCTGCATCAATGTCTGAACGAAGGTTGCCAACCTGAATTGGGAACGGGGCGCTAGAAATAACTTGTCAACACAACTTGGCGCATCTTCGTATCTAAGCTCCTGATCCGCATAGCAAGAACGTTCGCCAAAGGCGGCACGATGTTGTGAACTCGAAAACGGAAGAGGAAGACCAAGAATGGGGCTGGGTTTGAACGAACGTGGACTAAAGTGACTAAATGGTGGTGCGGTAAAAGGGGGTCTAGCAGGTTCAGCCGCCAATACCTCGGTTGATGAGAGCAGATGGAGCGAGAGCGGAGAGGGTGAGCGAAGAATTGTTGAGACATGGATCCATAGTTTGTGTGGGCATAATACTTCCCGCTTGCATCCTATATACTTACCTATTGTGTCGCGTGTGGCATGGTGTCCATGCACCACATCCTTAGTACAAGGGCAATGCGCACCACAAACTAAGTCAGCTAGTTGTCAAAGGTGTGCGTTACCCTCTTTGCATGGAGAGAAGGATACTACCTAGTGTTTAGTGGATTATGTAAACGCTTGCCTGGTTGAATCGTAATAGTGTACCGGATACTGAGTGATCCGGACCACGAATCGCGCCATCTACCGACGCTGCATTCCAACAACAAGTTGCGGAGACTCTACCTAAAGCGAACGGCTTGGCACAACCGTTAAAGCTACTTCAAACTTCGAATTTGTGAACGTCCTCTTCTATACCCATCTAGTTCCGACGCTACTTTGGCTTCTGCAGGAAGATACTGAATGTCACAGTCAGTTCACTGCAGTTGTTTCTCTGACAACCAGTAACTGCGTTACCAAGTTTTATGATACCTCGATTGGTGGCGGCCCACTAAAGTAGTCGTAGCTCTAAGGCTCAACGCAGTTCGCAGCGCGTTCACAGCATAGTAGTCTGTCAAGGACGAGACGCGCTGTATTGCCATCACTAATCAGTCATAGCCATCCACCGCCGTCACCCACGGCCTAGTGGCAAACCTCGCTGACTCGTACTGTTGTGGTCATGGATTTGGATCCAGTAGGATTCATCGCATGCACGATACTGACGAGTCTCGGTGAGATGAAACGGCCACCTAGCGCTCTTTTAGTTGTGTGCTGACTGTATGGCTGAGTCTAGATTTGGAAAGTCTTCGCGGAAATCCAACAACCCCCTAACCCTCTCTAAAAGTTGTACCATTTTTACAGCACTACTTGATGCACCAATTTCACCTTCATTTGGCGGGGTCAGCCAAATGAATTTATGGGAACCAGTATGAACCAGTGATCAGCATTCTCACCATCGTGACCCCTAAGTAGAGTATCTTACCTTTGCTTTTTAACACAACTTTGCATTTCTCGTCTTAAACTTTCATGATTCTCGTAGCCGGTGACAAGCGTTTCTACACCAACTTGGGAAACCCGAAAGGGTCGTTGTGTGCCAGTGTGTTCCTTCATCCCAAGATTTAGTGTCCGGTGACAAACACACAAATTGAAAGACGTGAGATTGGTTTAAACATTTTGCCGTACATTTCGCCCAACCTGTTGGTAGCTTCAAGTTATTACACCCTTTAAAATGCAACACCACTACCTACTCAAGTTAACAATCATTAGTAAGGTCATTAAAGAAGTAGGTACTGCGTCCCGGTTGGATTCATTTCTATTGAACTGCCATTGCACAATTACCGACGCTCAGTATAGGAATTATTTGGTACCACAATGCCGCTTAAGTTCATCCATAACGTTTGTTTCAGATGCTGCAGCGGACTTAGACGTTGATGATAGAGGTTCGACATCGGATTCGACCGACTCCCAGATCACTCCAAACGTTTCGGAAGTGAAGAAGCTGTTTCTATACAATCAAAATATATCTACACCAGTTATCACAAAGGAACCCGAAGCTTCCAGTAATTGCTGTCCTTACGAGAAACTTCAGAAGGATAGAGTAGTAACACAAGTGAGTAGCACAGATTCGCAACATTGGTTGGGCTACGGTAGTTTCAATGCAGCATTCAATGAAAGCGAGTGCTTCCAGGATCTGCACCAGTTGCCTGCGCATGAAAGCAGACATACGTCGTCTAGCGTGTGTTTTGGCATGCAATGGTCCCCGGACTCCTATAAGGAAACATGCGATATATTCTGCCAGAGAAAATCACTGAAAAATGCGACGGAGTTCATGGACACGGATGAGTGGGATGTAGTAGAGGATAGATCAAATCCGGACAATACTTCGGGTGCTTCGGGAGCAATCTACCGGATGCCAGGCAGAGAAACGATGGGGAACGATATAATAACGCGGATGCAGTATATAGTACCAGGAGCAACGAACCAGACAAAAACTGGAGTGATCGAAGGAAGCTTATTGCAAGGATCCTCTAGTACATCAAGGAATAACAACTCACGGTATTCGGAAGAAAACTTCCCGGTGACAGATACTTCGCATTTGGAGCAATTTGTTCAGTCGGTAACAGGAATGCGTGAACTGCAAAGCGAGCCAACAGCTGTGACTTGTGGTTTCTTGGACAATCTTATACAACCATCTTTAACCGATACCTATCATCTCGGTATGGGTAATTGGAATCAAGCCAATGAACCTGTAAGGGCCATGAGAAACTTATTCGTTGATGTAAATATGTACGACGGAGAAGTGGCAAGCCAGTCGGAGGTGTCTGCCAAGCCAACGTGTAGTGACGCGGCTGGGATGGTATGGGTACAAACAAGCTCGAGGACTCGCACAGCATGCACCTACCTTAGTAGCATTATTCAAAAGGAATCGCATGAAAACACCAGAAAAACACGGAATGATTTACAAACAGAAGGATCGGCAAATTACTGTTCTTTCACGCAGTACGAATCACGAGATACAACAGAGCTGGCTGTTGAAAGTAACCAGAGCCCCAGATGCCAGTCACCCCATAAACTCCAATCTCCAGCATTAGACTCAGATGAGAAGCTGGCGACTGATTTGGATGGTTACCTTAACTCCTCCACCTCAAGTCGGCAGCCGATGACTGAGCTGGTGGACAGCCGAGTATATGTCGATTCTTCACTGTCGAGCTTTACACCTTGGCCAACGGGTTCAGAACAAGAACCAGTAAATCTTTTGCGACGCTGTCCTCATTTTGAAAATATAAGCAGTCTTTGGGAGTGTTACTCAGGTGACGTTGAAAGTGCAGTGCCTAAGTCACTCAAGGTGCCAGACGCGCCGTTTGATGCCCAAGAGGAGGAATTCGACTATAGTGAAGGTGTTAACGACAAACTGACGAGAACTTGGTTCCGTGAGACTTCGCAGAGAGATCAAGTAAGCAGTTCTATTACTCTTCACCACTAGTCAGATGTGCCATCAAATTATAACCTACTTATACGTTTTGTGGTCAGATGTCCTCGCATTCATTGGTTGAACGAGTTTACTTCGCACGACATACTGCGTACATTGCTATTTTAAAACCACCTGGGAAATCAGGGCATTACAACAAATATCATCACATTGTGCGTACCACGATCAGTTGACGAGGTGGCACCAAATGTGTTTTTCATCACATTTGTTCAAGACAGTTTGCTAGGACACCGGAGTAACTTTAAGCGTAGAGTACTATTCCGACGGTGGTCTACTTCCAAAATGATAAATAACTGACTTCCTTTTCTATGTACTTTAGAAACTCTGCCAAAATGTGCTAGGCGAGTACCATAGAAGGTTGAACAGTGGAACAATGATATATGTCGGGTAAAAATGCTACCGTTTAATAAGTCCAAGGGGGTGGTTGAAATGGCAATTGCAAAAGCAGGGAACCGGGTCAGCACATGTGCGTACTGGTTAATGAACTCAACAAGAGGTCTTCATGGTAACAACTATAGTTCCAGTCGGTTAAAAGTCGAAAACACTGGTTTGCTTGAGGTGTGTAGCCACTTGACAAACACAACTTCTGTATCCTGTCGACCGACGATAATCGCACACAAGTAAGCGTTGTCCTTGCTATCGTTTTGTTATTTTTCTCGCCGCTGATGTGAACAATAACCACTCTCCTGTTGCTTTGTGTGCGTACATTCTCGTTTCGAACCCCCTTTATACGAAAATGCAGTTATATCTGTAAGCGCCCGAACTGACAACATTACCCCTTCGCTATCATTTTTGTCACGCTATCCACCCTACGGGACATGTCAAGCACCTGCTTTTTTACCCCTCATAAATCATTGTTCATTGTTCAAGGAAACGGGCGTGATGAGTCCTCAAAACGTAATTTGACAGTCATTAAGTTGAGGGCAGAAATAATGTCTATGGCTGGGACATTCGGGAGCAGAAGAAGATGGCATTTCTGCCGGCTATACCTCGTTGTTGAATTTAGACGAAGGCTGTTATGACTTTCAGAGTAAGAGTGAAAGCCTGGTTGATTCCGTCGTGAGAGGACAGAAGCGAAAGCCACAGTACAAGGTGTATTTACACACTGAACGCAAGGCCGGACGGAACGAGAAGGGAAATACATCAGTACCAATTGAATGCGCATGTGGTTAATTAGGAACCCGGAGGCACAAGTGGTATAGGATTGTATGGAACAGGCGATAGGAAAACATGTATCACAACGCGAAAACGTAATGTTCGGATTGTAGGCAAAGATTGCTCCGACACAAAACATGGTTCCTTCTTCTAAAATAACACGTTTTCGGAATAACTGAGTGTCCCGTTTTTGCGCACAGTTACAAACAGTCCACGCAATTCTTTTGGCATCAGCCAGGTTACACTTCCTGGGTATTTCGCCGTCCTATGTTTCATTATGACTATATATCTTCCTCTCATAAAAGAAGTATTGATCATAAGAAAGTTTGTATGGGCCTACTCGTAAATGTGTAGTTGGTCTGTGGATCCGATCATTGCAACGTCTCGGTTGCCAATTCGATTCACCCCAGATTGTTACATACTCCTCGTCACACACGCGCGGAACTCCAGGGCGTACGTCGAAACGGTTCATGAGAAGATCAAGTGGTAGCGATCAGTTATCTGTGCTCTCTCGGATACTAGCAGGCCACAACTGGCTTGCGTGTCCGGTCCACATTAAATAACCTACCTTAACTTTATAGATCAGTTTTCCTGTCTTACTCTGAGTTGAGCCTGTTGTCCATAGTCCTCTACCCGTTTAATAATCTCCGACCAAGATATTTTGTCTTGCGTTCTATTTCGTTGCTTTTAATACATCACCTTTTTCAAATTTCTTTCCCATGGAATAGTGATCCCCAGCCACAGCAATGAGTTAACAGTTCGAATTTTCCTTACCATGCGAGCCCCTGCGAGTGGCACGTTATTTTGCATCTGAGGTTTTGTGGCTGATCTGTACATAAGCAGGAAAATATCCTATATCTCCTGTGTGGTTCCCTCTCTCCGCCTATTTACTAGCATACCTTTGAACGTGTCAGAAAACTGTTCCGCTTGTCCATTGGGTTGGGACTGGAACGCGGGTGTGTGTAAATGTGCGATATCAACCTGCGAGCAGTATTCGGCGAACTGGTACGAATTGAATAACAAACCGTTGTCGGTGACCAGTGTCTCCATCATTCCATGCTGACTGAGAAGGCTTCACCTTACTTTAATGGTTTCACCACTGGTTGAATGCTCCATTCGGAAAACCTTGAGCCATTTACTGTGAGAATCTACAAGGATGGGAAACTGCTGTCCAATGACAAGACCAAAGAAATAAGCATTTCCAGGGTTTCGTCGCCGACGGCCAAGAAGAGAATTACCTTTTCCGAAGTGACTTAATGACAGGCGCGCGTCTTGCACATGTCTTCACAAGCCGTTCGAGTTTCGCGTCGATGTTTGGCCAATAAACAAAACTTCGTGAATTCATTTTCACCGTACTAATACTAGGATGACCGACCGGCTAGGTTATCTTTCAGCCACCGTGTAGTGTGGTATTTGATCATTTGTTGAAGGATTAAAGCTCGGGATGATGCAGCACATACCATTTTGAAAGTAGTTAAATGTTTTCTAATACTCTCTGTCAGCACGTGATTCACTTCTGGTTCCAACGATATCACTGCGATAATGGAGTCTACTTTCTGAGCCTGCTGATTTTCCAATAAGCGTGAAAATACAATAGCTTGACCTATGTTCTTCAAGGAAATGTGTATTATCTCAAAGTCATAACCGAACAAGGTGGTTATCCAAGGTTGCAGCCTGTTCACCGCGTAGACGGTGATGTCTGACATTGATCCACAAATTGCCAACCTCGGTTTATGGTCCGTAGGGATGGTGAAATTTCTTCCATATGATATTTCATTGAATTTCTTTACCACAAAGACTATCGCCATGACCCCTTTTGCTATCTGACCTTATTTCCCTTCTGCTGGGGTTAACGACATGGCTGTGTGTGCAATAGCTTCACCTGAGCTACCTGCGAATTTGTAAGAGATAACTGCCACAAAACCGTAGTTCGAAGCATCTGCAGCTAGCACACTTTCCTGGATGGGGTCATAGGGTGTCAGCAAAAGGTCAGAACATAGCATTTATTTTACCTCTTCGAAGGATTTCTGGTATTCTTCCGATCGATACTTACGTTTACCTTAGCCCAGAAGCTTGTTAAGTGGACGATGCACGCGACGCATCTGCGGGAGGACTCAAGTATACTGATTTATGAGACCTAAGAATGACTTCAGTGTCTACCGTCTTTGCCACTAATGAAATGGAGGAACGTACTTGAGTTCAAGTAACTTGTATTTCTCAGGATGAAGTCCAAAACCATACTCTTACTACGACCAAGGAGCTGATTCGACTTCAGGTTGGTGCTATGACTAAGTTACAAGAGGTGGCAACAAACGTGCTTAGGGGTATTCAACATTTGGCAAGCCATAAGGTCCCTCATGTGCGTCATTACCGACCACCTGGAAAAATGCAACATATTGGTACCGGAACAACATGGCTTCCGTCAACACCGGTCATGCACCACCAACCTACTTATTGCACGAGGTAGTTGGACGCAAGTGGCCGATGATGGGGTCGGAGTCGACGTCATCTATCTGGACTTCTCCAAAGCTTTCGAGCGCCTTGATCACCGCATCCTACTTCAAAGACTACAAAGTTACGGAATCGGAGATCCTGTACTTGGTTGGATCGGCAACTTCCTTTACCAACGAAAGCTCCAAGTACGTGTTAGGGGATCACTTTCTAACCCAATTGAGGTGGAATGTGGTGTCCCGTAAGGCTCAGTGCTGGGACCGCGTTTATTCCTGGTGTTTATCAACGACCTGGCAAGAGTCATCTCCTCAAACTTCCTGCTTTTTGCCGATGATGTCAAGATATGGCGGGCGATCAGTAACAAGGCAGATCAGGATCTGCTCCAACATGACCTAGATTGCATTTACGAATGGTCAAGGAGGAACAAGCTTCAATTGAACATGACTAAGTGCAAAGTGATGCATCTGCGTCACCAGCAGGTGAGCGCTTACAAGATTGGAGACCACACCTTGGCGAAGGTTTCGCAGGAGCGGGACCTGGGTGTATTGGTACAGGAAGATCTCGGGTGTTCCAAACAAGCAGAGAAGGCGAGGAGAACCGGAAATCAACACTTCGGCCTTCTTCGCAGAGCCTTCGGTCGGTTTGAACCATCAATATTTCCCCAAATGCTTAACGCCTACGTGCGACCTCACGTGGAATATGCTATTCAGGCGTGGCAGCCGTGGCAGAAACAGGATTTCGTTGCTCTCGAGACCCCTCAACGACGGGCAACCAAGAACGTCAGGGGCCTCTTTCATCTGCCCTATCAGCTTAGACTGAAATCTCTAAGAATGTACAGCAGTCGATATCAGCTGTTGCGGGGGGATCTCATAATGGTTTACCAGATTCTGAAGAACCCAAACCACATTTGTCGTCCGCTGCTGGAATTGAACCATAACACTAAACTAAGAGGTCACCCCCTGAAATTGACAATTAATTATAGCCGGCTTGAATGCCGCAAACATTTCTTTTCTCTCCGCGTGTGTGAGCCTTGGAATGCCCTCCCTAATTATGTCGTCTCTGCTCCCAATCTGGTGATATTTAAAAAAAGTGTTGACGATGCATTGTCTCACTTACATTTCATTTTATGAGTTGTTAGCCAGGGGCTACAAAACGCAATCAAACGGTTTCTTGCCAAACGCCCAACCATTGGATTTATGGATTTATACGTTTAATATGCGAACATCTCCGCTATTTCACATAAGTCTATGGTGAGTCCACCACAAAGCTTTTCACTTTATTATGCAATTGATTTTCGCAATAATTTCCATCCCACGGGACTTGTTAAGCGATGCTTTTTTACCCGTAATAAACCATTG